TGGTTAATTGTAAAAATGAACTATTCAAACAAAGTACCCATTAATTGTCCCAATAATCATTCATACCAAGATCATATCACAGTGTTTTATTTATACAAGTTGTCAAGATTTTCCAGTTATTACTATTTGCTACTAATTCGATTCTATGTACTGTGAAGTCACTAGGTGTTTGGTTAGTAATGATTTCATGTAATTACAGGTAGTTATGTTCTCACTTGGGTGATTAAAAAGGTGTCATCAATACACGTGCCAGTTATTAGTTTAAATTAAAGTGATTAATAAGGTGTCACCAATACACGTGGCAGTATGGTGTCATATTCTCAGTTCAACCAAATAAAACATGCATATGATAAATAATTTTAAAAAGGACATAAAAATAAGAAAAAAGAAAAGCCAAATAAGTGGTAACTTTTCATTGTCAACTGAAATTAGTCTTACTTTTCTTTTTATATCTAGTTAATGTTACTTACTTGTAAAATGTTTAGAATAAATCATTCAATTATTCTAACTCATAAAGTATACTGCAAATTAATTTCTAATGAAGAAAATAACATCCATTATCATACTTATATTCTTCTAGTAGTCTGAGTTTGCTATAGTCTGATTTTGTGGGGTCGATTGTGTTATAGGCCGAGTTTGTTATAGTCCGAGTTTGTTATGGGCCGAGATATCAGGGAGTAAAAAAAATGGCTTATGTTATTTCTTTTTTTTTAAAAATTTTATACGAAATACGAAATATTTTATCAAAGAAAGCTCAATTATGAACATAAGTCAAAAATAGCATAGATACAACAAAAGAATAACATTTAAACAATCTCATTACAATTAATACTTGTTATAGTATTAATTGTAGTGAATTTTAACTATTCTGATATGATTGCAAATACAATTAATACTACACAAGTATTAAAATATTGTGTGTTCCAAGGGGAGTAACTCTAGTATATATAGAAATAAAACCCAGTTAATCACTGTAGATATAAATAGCCAACAAACAAACAAACAAATTTCACACTTTTACTCCAAGTAAAAAACACATGTTAAGGTACTTACATCAGTGTCTTCATTACTTAACAACCACAAAACTGAGAATTAATATTTTTAGTATAGTAATGTTTTATAATAAATTGCTTCGCTGAGCGCAGCTGGATACGACCGCAGATGTCCAACCCTGAAAAGTTGGGCCAAAATGGACAAAATATTCACGCTTGATACAGGTCTGAATTTGGATTGTAACTAAATTTTCAACAGAATAACTGTAGTCAAAGAACTTCAAATTGGTTATATGATTTGAATTTATATTCAATTTATTGCTTTTTGTGCAATACACTATGCTGTTGTGAATTGACCGCCCGCCCCCCCCCCCCCCCCCCCCCCCCCCCCCCCCCCTTTACAAAAAAAAATTAATTTTACCCCGGTTTTTTGCTTTTGTGCAAGTCATTATGCTGTTGAATATTAACCCCACAAAAAAAATATTTGAAGAAATTTTCTTTTAATTTCTGAAATCTGAAATGAGAAAAATTGTCTCCCCTCCAATTTTTTTCACCTCCCCCCTTTCCCTTATTCCCCAAAAAAATTCTTTCAATCAAGATATGGTCAGTGTCTCAATTCAAATTTCTAATGCAGTTTGCCATCAAAATTACCCATTTAAATACATCATGGAAGTTTTAAAATATAAAATGACATACATAGTCATGGCTAAAATTAATATTAATTAATAGTAACTGCTAAAAATAAATTGACAGCTAATCACCTCAAGACAATCATTATTTCTTAATACATTATTTACAAGCAGTGTAAGGGAGGTAATCAAACAGTGTTCTTTAATTTGAATCGGATTACCTCCCTTACACTGCTTTTAAATTGTCTCAATTGTCCTTTAACCAGAAAAACCCTTGTTTTTCCCCCTAATTACTAAACGGTTTAAGCCATAACCCCCCAAAGTCAATCCTTACCATCCCTTTGTTGTATGGAAGTTTGTGGTATAATTTCAGAGAGATTCATACACTTTAACACATGTTATTGTCTGGAAACTACAAAAATGCTTATTTGGGCCCCTTTTTTGGCCCCTAATTCCTAAACAGTTGGGACCATAACCCCCAACCTTCCTTTAGTGGTTATAAACCTTGTGTTAAAATTTTATTGATTTCTATTTACTTATACTAAAGTTATTATCCGGAAACCATCTGTCTTCGGACGACGACAACGTGATACCAATATACGACCAAAATTTTTTTAATTTTTGCGGTCGTATAAAAAGAATAGGTCACAGAGCCTTTTTTCCACCTATTGGTTGTGCAAAATTGTTAGATTTTGTAAGGAATTTACATGGAAAACCACTTTTTGACTATAATAATGTGCTGTCAGAAAATATATTAAAAATTGAGGTCACAGACTTATTTTCTTGCTACCAACAAAACAGCAAATTTGCTGTACATTTCTTAATTATATCAAATTATCTGAGTTACCTCCTCTTATTTGACTATGTTAAAAAAAAATGAATCAAGCAAAAAATATTCTGCATTTGAAAAAAAACCAGTCCTAATATTAACATTAAGCACCTAGTGCTCATTATTTTGATGGAAAGTCTTACAAATGAATTGCATTCCCGTCTTCAATTTGGCAATATTTCATTAAAGATCTAATAAAACCAATTGTTTTCTGCTTTTTTACAATCCAAGATGACAAAAGACCCATGATCAACATCTAAACAGTAAGGGACTATGTTTGAGAAACAATGAGAATGAGTCTCAACAATTAAATAAACTTTTTCAGGTCCATTGAATTTAAACTATTCTGATATGATTGCAAATTCAAACATCTTTCAATAAACTATCACAATAAAATTTATCAAATCTTTTCTGTTAACAGAATTTTCAAAAGGTTCTGTACATCCAGATAAACCAAAAAGATTTTGTTTATTATTCTATCAAAAACTTTGATTTGTCAAAGTAAAAATAATTTGTCATTTATTTAACATCATGATTCACATGTTGCTATTTAAAAATCTATAAAGAGTTTTGGTGAATTTTAACATTTTTGCATGTTTACTTACCCAATGCATGTCTGCAGTTTACTACAAGGTTCTGAAAACCCAATCTGCAGAATTCAATTAAACTGAATACAAAAGTATTCCATGATCTCTATTTCATAAAAACTCCAGAAAAATGTAAAAGGTAACTTCTATAATAAGCATGTTTCTAAAAGTCAATTTTACGATGTAGACATCATGTTTCATTATATACAATTTTTTCCTTAAAATTGTTTTGGGACGTTAAGCAAACAAAAATCAATATATTCTATTTAAAATATTCTACAACCTTTAAGTCTCTTAAAATAGCCTTTTCCATGTAAAAAATTAAAATTTGAAAGTCTTAAATTTTCAGTGTGTAGCTTGAACACAAGTATGGCACCCATTACTATTTATTCTAATTAATAGTAGATATCTAGTAAACTTTATATCTCATATAGTTATAAGATATCTGAAAATCATAATGCTGTGATACCTACATGTATCATTCCTACTGAGCACATATTACTTACTGCTTTTTTCAATTGTTTTTCCCTACTGAATTATCTACAAAGAGGAGTGTTGAGATCTCACAAAACTAGTTTCAAACTACTAGATGTCTTGTGCTATCCAAAGTCATGAAGTTATATCAGTAGTGGTATTTGTTCACTTTCTTAAGTTTCTGTCACTTTCTATATTAAGATCTCTATGAAATGAGACAATGTGATCCTTTCCAAGGACCATTATAAACTTCTACTAAAGAATTATGTCTGGTTTTTGTTGAAAACCTAATCTTTCTTGTCCTCCCTCACCTGCTGCAATTTGCCAAAGGACAGAAATAGTCTTCATCTGTCTGTCGTCCAACCATTACACACTACACTTCTGAGACCCTCTGTTTGAAATCTGTTATACTTGCTATGATTATCTGTTATCATTTGCAATTGACCATAATTTACCCGCATTTTGATCTGATCAATTAATGATCAATTTTGGCCATTGGTAGCATTGTCAGTTTGTTTGACAAAAAGCTTTAATACATGGTATGAATTATTTGAATATTTGTCATCATGTATAATTGATCATGCTACTGGTATATTCTATTTTGACGTGAAAATTTTTGCACGAGTTATTTCACAATTTTTGGCCTACTGTAGCTCCATGACACCTTGTGAACACTACATCTCTTTTCCATGTCTGAAAACTTTCATACTAAGAGAAATTATTTGCCCTTTTGATTAGTTGATCATACTTTATCATTATTTCGATTTGACAAATTTGTACTAGTTATAAGACTTTGTTCAATTCTGGCCTATTGTTGAATAATGACACCTTGTGACCAATTCTCTTGTGTTAGAATGTCTGCCCAAAAGGTTTCATCCCTAGTAGGATTGTTTCTGACCATTTTTGGTCTTAAGTAGCATAATTTGAATCCTCAGAGACCATAAATTTTGTCAGTAGCTTTCAAACATACTCAGATTGTTTGTCATCATGTGTAATTGACCTCACTGTACCACCATTTTGATTTGACAATTTTGGGGGAGTTATGGAACTTGTGCTATTGTTTTTTTATCATAATGACACACTGGGATCTTTCATTTTTTTTCCTGAAATTGTGTGACAAGTTGATCACCAGTTAGAGTAAATTCCTATGAAAATTTAGTATTATGCCAACATTTTCACAACAAGCCCTAAATTCACCAATTGACTACATTCCAGGAAAGGTGTAACAATTAGGGTAGGAGGGGGGTGCAAAAGCTCCAAACAGGTGTGATAATTTTATGTGTAGTTGTTCTGCAGTCTACTCTCCAGACTAGTACAATGTATTATAAGTAGCTGGGAACATTAAGCTACAGTGTATCAACCTTGTTTTTTGAGATTGTCTTGATAAATATCAACCACCCACCAGTCCAATGAAAAAGTGAAATAAAACCCTGAGAATAATCATGTTATTTAGTGCAGAAAAATATAAGTTGGAATACAAATTGAAAAATTCATTTCATAAAATTTTATTAAATAACTTTTTTTTAAAGAACACATGTATATATTGTCTTATCAACTATTATTTCACTGAAATATACATCACATTTATCAAAATATTATCAAGCTAATAAATGTTATCATCAAATGAATGATGTAATATCCCACAATTTTATTAATATAATATTTAGATATCATTCTTGCTTTGAATGATTTAAAAAAATCCTGTTATGATAGTTTTTAAGCAAAGCTTTATTTTAGTATCATATACTCGAAGCGCTCTTTTTAATCTATAATTTGATTGCAGTGTTTTAACTTGCTAACATATATCTATGTATATATATATCTACAGATCTAAATTATCATTTTTGAAAGTACATAAATTTTCTCCTATTTCACTGTAATTTTTGTTTGAACAGATTTTCTAGCTTAACAGCATCAACAGCAAATCGTCTGATTCCATCGGCTAATTTATCTGTTGCCATGGCATCTTCATTCATCTCCCAACGAAATTTGTTTTCATCTACTGTGACCTCTTCCAAGTCACAAGAATTTGCTATAAAAGAAAATGAAATGCATAGTTTAATACTTCTTATAATACATGTATTTTAATGAACTGAAGCATTTATTTTTATTTTCTCTAATTGGAATGTAATCAAATCCTTTCTCAACCAATATATTATCACATAAAGTTTAATCAGTACCTGCTCACAGTATTCTCAATCTGTAATTCCTTGCTAAATTAGTTACATTCAACTACTCTCTGATCAGGAGCAATAGATGTTAATTTTTTCATTTGATATTTTGCATAATTATTGTAGGTGACATATAAGGACTAATCACAAATTCATTCACAATAAACATAATGTTCTTTGTTGTGTGCTGTCTGCCATATTGTTTTTGTTTATTTATTGTTTTTAGCATAAAATCAGGCTGTTGAATTTATTCAATTGAATTGTTTGTCAATCTGTCATGCCTTTTATAGCTTAATATACAGTATAGATTTTGCTCATTGTTAACGGCTTAACTGTGACCTTGGTCTCTGGTAGAATATGATAGGCAATCATACCAAATCTCCTTATTTTCATATAAAAGCCAAATGCAAACCACCTATAATTATATAGATAGGTATTTTTATTTTAAAGTACAACTTGGTACATGTACATGAAATACAATATATTACAATTTTAAACATATGTAGTCAATAAACATGTAATTTATACCAACCAGCCTTTAGAGGCTTATGATGCACAGTCATTTATGAACGAAATGTTATATAAACAAATTTCAAAATCATATTAATCCTTATCATATCTGAGGCTTAAATCTTCTGAGAAAGTTTCAATATATCAGTTGTGTTTAATAATGTGAAAATAAAGATGAAAGTATCTAAGTAATTATTGGTTTAATAATGTAAGGGTTGTAAATGGAAATGCAGGAGGATAAGAGTTGCCTCTGTTTGTTTGTATCACCATTTGTAAATTAGGATTTGTAATAAGATATAAAAAGATATATAACTCATCTATTTAAAAATATTATAAATTTGTGTTTTACGCTTCATATAAATATGTTAAAATCTATACAAAATACTTTTGAAGATTTTTTGATTTTTTTATATGTCATGCATATTGGTGCAAAATGTTGAGGTGGAAGAAAATACAGATTTTCTTAGTAGTCAAATTTTCATTCTTAAAATTAAATAATTGATAAATATGGTAATCAACAGAATATTGGGACAAAATCTAAATTTAACTGATTCCATATCAACAGAATAACACAAGATCAACTTTATTCTATGGTACTTTTCATAAATATATGAATTTAATTACTTTTTCCATTTAAAATTGAACTATGTGTAATTGTGAAAATGCATCAAATGTATGGAATAATTGAAAATCAAGATAACATGTTTTACCTAATTTTTCGGATAGAACAGAAGATATCTGCTCATTTGCCTCAGACAGTTTCTTTAGCAAACCAGGTCTGAAAAATAGAAAATCACATTAATACTGATTCTAATAAATGACAGGTGCTACAAGTTGAGCAGGGACTGTACCTTAGTACATCCCAAAATATTAGTGGGGTTTGTGTTGTTAAGGATGTTGGCTACTATTATTTTAGACTTTTCGTCAGATATTTGGAATCCTCTAGTTTTATCCATGTAATGCCAATATAAATTTTGCCCACTAACCTCTACTTTTCTTTTCATAATTTTATTACATATAGTTTTAAAAGTCAGTTTTTAAAATCTTATAAAATCTTTGTTATTTTTTCATAGTTTTTGAAAGAATAAAGGTGCCAATGTTAAATGTATGAATAATCTAGAGAGAATCATTTCCGACCAAATTTTCAATCGATTATATTTCAAAAACAAGGACACGAACCTGTCATTTTTTTCTACTTTTTAAGTTTCGTTATTTATATACTATCAATTCATAATAGTCTTGCAAAAAGCTTGTTATTTTGAAACAGAGAAATATACTATCAATTAATAACAGTCTTGCAAAAAGCTTGTTATTTTGAAACAGAGAAGCGAACATTCTTAAATCTTTGATTTTCTGCGTACTGTTTCATGAACTGTTGTTTGCACGTTCACCACTTTGCTTTCCGCTATGTTTTTCTTTAACTTATGATTTTTAATTGCCCTCTTGGTATCTTTTTTCCTTTTTAAGGCTTCGATTACAGTACAGTGAAATAAATCATTCAAAGTTGCAGAGTCAAAATGTCTTCAACTCAAAAATATATAATCAGAGTATTGATGATAAATGCAGATTTTAAGGAGCAATTGTTTCAAGAATATCCCCTAAAGAGATGTTAACACGAATAAGTGTATCACATTTCCCTATTCAGTAAACTGAAAATCTAGGTCAAAACCTAATTTGACATATTTTAAAAAGTTCACATCACTTACTGATGATCAGTAATATACATTTTCAAGTTATGAGCTTCATGTTAAATTGTCTTTAACCAAAACTTTAAATTTATATTGTGCAGAAGAAAAGATTGACTAATGGATGAAGGTACAGTCTCTAAAACATAGTGCCCCCTACTGTCGTCCTTTAGGCAGGTCATAATAAATTGCTTCGCTGAGCGCAGCTGGATACGACCGCAGATGTCTAACACTGAAAAGTTGGGGCCAAATGGACACAATATTCATGCTTGATACAGGTCTGAATTTGGATTGTATCTAAATTTTTGATGCATAATAGGTTTCTGACACAGAATAACTGTAGTCAAAGAACTTCAAATTGGTTATATGATTTGAATTTATATTCAATTTTTTTGCTTTTGTGCAATACACTATGCTGTTGCAAATTGACCCCCCCCCCCCAAAAAAAAAAAAAAAAATTTACCCCGGTTTTTTGCTTTTGTGCAATACCCTATGCTGTTGAATATTAACCCCCCAAAAAAAAAATTTGAAGAAATTTTCTTTTAATTTCTGAAATCTAAAATGAGAAAAATTGTCCCCCCCTCCAATTTTTTTCACCTCCCCCCTTTCCCTTATTCCCCAAAAAAAATCTTTCCCTCAAGATATGGTCAGTATCTCAATTCAAATTTCTAATGGAGTTTGCAACCATAATTACCCATTTAAATACATCATAAAAGTTTTAAAATATAAAATGACATACATAGTCATGGCTAAAATGAATATTAATTAATAGTAACTGCTAAAAATAAATTGACAGCTAATCACCTCAAGACAATCATCATTTCTTAATACATAATTTACAAGCAGTGTAAGGGAGGTAATCAAACAGTGTTCTTTTAATTGATTTGGATAACCTCCCTTACACTACTTTTAAATTGTCTCAATTGTCCTTTAACCAGAAAAACCCTTGTTTTTCCCCTTTTTTTGCCCCTAATTACTAATTGGTTTGAGCCATAACCCCCCAAAGTCAATCCTAACCATCCCTTTGTAGTATGGAAACTTGTGGTATAATTTCAGAGAGATTCATACACTTTTTTTTTTAACACAAGTTATTGTCTGGAAACTACAAAAATGCTTATTTGGGCCCCTTTTTGGCCCCTTATTCCTAAACAGTTGGGACCATAACCCCCAAAATCAATCCCAACCTTCCTTTAGTGGTTATAAACCTTGTTTTAAATTTTAATGATTTCTATTTACTTATACTAAAGTTATTTTCCGGAAACCATCTGTCTTTGGACGACGCTGCCGACGACGTGATACCAATATACGACCAAAAAGTTTTAATTTTTACGGTCGTATAAAAACTCAATCAAAAGATGGAGTGCGACTGGAAAATAAAGAGGTATGGCTAATTTGCTCATATTTCAATTAACAATGAGGCTCGAATGAGAACAAACTTTACGACAAAAGAGATGATTTCAGCTTCCCAATTGTGACCTTCTACTTTTTCTATGTAGCAACATTCCAGTAGTGCCTGCATATGGAGTATATATCTCCCAGTTGATATGATATTCCAGAGCTTGCGTTTCCTATCATGATTTCCTTGATAATGGGTTGCTGCTCAGAAGGTAGCTATTGAGCTAAGAATTCCAAGTGGTGAAGTTCAAATCCTCCCATTGAAAATTTAACGGACGCCATCATAAGTTGGTTGACGGTTATTGAATATCTGTTTCAAAGATGACGATGTTCTTATTGTCATAACCACAATCTCGTTCTCTTTTCCTTGAATGTGACCTACCGAATGAGACTTATCACAGGGTTTATACTTACATAAGCAAAACAGTGGGTGCCACATGTGAAGCAGGATCTGCTTATACTTCCTGAGCGCATGAGATCACCCCCTTGTTTTTGGTGGGGTTTGTGTTGCTCGGTCTTTAGTTATCTATTTTGCGTTTTTTGTACTGTTGTTGGTCTTTTCTTTTTTTTCTCGTTTTTTTACCATGGCATTGTCAGTTTGTTTTTGACCTAGGAGTTTGATACCGTTCGGTATCTTTCGCCTCTCTTCTCTTCCACTCACAGGGTTAAAATTCTAAAGTTGAAGATACCTAAAGTTACATTATATCTACTTGTTTTTATATGCTTTCTCTTTACTTACGAGATTGTTAAGAGATCACATCCAGCTAGACCAAGAATTTGATCTGTATTTCTGAAGGAAGCACCCATTACTACTGTATCATAGCCAAATTTCTTGTAATAGTTGTAAATTTTTGTCACACTTTTCACACCTGAATGTACAAAAATACATACTTATATTAACTTTTTTCACCAGTGTCACTTTGCTATATTGATGCTTCAAAGGATGCAAATTCAATAACAACAACCAGACCATAGTACTATTTTATCATTTTCAAATGTTCCAACAGAATTCCTTGCCCTTTGTACCCCCAGTAGTTGCCATGATAGGCTTGGATACCATATTGTTATAACTGTAGCTATGTTAAAATTACACAGGCTAAAATACAATGCCAAGCTCTCTCATTTTGTTGTGAAAAAACCTTTGTAATTATTGCATTTTTTAAACTGCTCTATTTGAAATTACCATCCCTTGGACCATTCTTATGGCATTGACATATTTCAAGTGCCCTATAATTGCATTAGTACAATTTGTATCATTAAATCATGCATAGTCATATTATGCATACCTATTTGATGAGCCTCTAGTTTATGTACAAAAGTTGACACAGAAAATACATATGTGAAGATTCTCATATTGAAAGATCAGTTTGTATCATCAAAGTTAATCTTACAACCATGCTTAAATTTAAAGATATTCATTCAATGGACTTAAGTTAGTATAAAACATATGAAAGTAAGGATGCAAGAACATAAAGAAGCTGTCATTGACAGGCATAAAATAATGAAAATGAATTTCAGAACCTATCACACCACATCTTCTTATTTTTATATAAAAATTGTGTGAAAGATATGAAAGAGCTGTGATGTCTAAACATTACCGATTATCTATTTAAGTGTTTCTTAGTGGTATTATCTTAGCATTGTTTTACCTATTTGTTAAATAAGTACAGTGTTTGTAAAATGCTGGAAAAATATCTATATTTAAGTCATCTATAGGGTTTAGCAACTTAATATAATTCATGAACTATATTTTTATCAAGGTTGAGAATATGTATGTATATAGATTCTACCACTGCATCAAGTATGATACAATATTTCTCCACTCAAGACAGTTAAATTTCAAATTTAAAACGCGAGGCTTACTGAGCATTTTAAATGTTTAAAATCTAACTGACGAGAGTGGAGAAATATTGTATTGCATGAGATTTGATGGTGGAATCTGTTTCTTTAATGAAATTTGATGTCATAATTGAATTTTGACCAATGAAGAACTGAGATCAAACCAACCACACCTTTATTAAATGAAAATTATCAACAGGTTAGTAAAAGTATAAATCAGCTTAGAATTAGAGAAAAGTATTTTCACACTTACCTGGATCATCTAATCTTTCAAATGTTTTCTGGTCTGTATTTTTAACAAACCAATCATAAATTCTTCCAACAAAAGGTGAAATAAGTGTTGCTCCAGCTTCAGCACACGCTACAGCCTAATAAAATAAATAAGCGACAAAAATATAAGAAACGGTTGAGACTTAATCTTTTTGTACAAGGATTTTAGGGCTGTAGCCTATTTCATCTAATAAAAAAACAGGGATTTAATACAAACTGATGACTGATTTAAACATGAAGCTCATATGAAAGTAATCTTAAGTTCATATAATCATTAATACTTTGTGCACACTCATTAGACCACTCCACATCACAAGGTCCAATATTGGGAGAGTAATAGACTCTTTGAGCTTAAGGGCTCTAAGGTACTAAGGAAGTCTGTTATAAGACAAAAATGTCTGCCCCAAAAATATATCTTGTTTTCAATTGCAGTTAAAATTTTCTAACATTAATTAAGGTATAAAGACACTGCATACTCTATATACCAGTACATTGACACATAATTTATTGATAATTTTTTTTTCACTCTCTGATTTTGCATGAAATGTTTTCTGATGTACATTAAGCAAACAACAACAAATCTGCTGATCTTCCAAGCACAAAATAAATATTTAATATTTTTTTGTCTTCATTTTTACTTTGTATATTTTTTCTCCAAAAAAAATGGAACCATTCACATACATTTCAAATTGTTTTTACTATATACTTATTCTTACTTACTTGATAAAAGTTAAACAATAAAGTCATGTTGACATGTATTCCATACTTGCTTTCTAATACCCTGAAAAATACCATAAAGATTTAATTTCTCGGAATGAAATACATCACTGTATTCACTCAATTACACTAGAAATGCATAGCCAAAAATATGATTATGTTATGTTACTTCAAATAAGCTTATAATTTGTAAATTATATGTTATAAATTTATAAATACATTATTAGGTAAATTATAAGTACATTATTGGATTCATGCGTCCTGTATTCAAAATTTTACAAAAAAAACAGTCAGCTTTCTAGTCACCCTTAACCATGTTAACTGTGCAATCCTGTATCAGGCAATAATATAACTGACCACTATGAAATTGCATAAATGTAAAGAAAAAGTCATAAAACTCATCAATTAAACATTATATATAACATGGTAGGTAAAATAATCATGATAATAAAATAGTTGAATCTTCAAAGCATGAAGTGTGTCTGCAATATCCAAATAATCATGATACTATAAGCAGAAATGGTAAAATCCTTGTTTTGGTATGGGAACCCCCCCCCCCCCCCCCCAAATCACACACAGCAGAATTTAAAATAGCAGGTGTATAATTTTATGTCCTGTAGAAGGATCTACGCAAGTTTGGTTGGATTTGGTCAAGTTGAATCGATTCACTAAATATGTTGTGGATGAAGACCACAATGACAGAAGTGATCCCTATAATGTGTTGCCTCAACTCGAATTTGTCAGACAACCCAATAAATGGAGATGTTGGATGTTGGGTATACTTCAATGAGACTGTAACACAAGGAAACAAAAAAAAACACAAAAACAAAAAGTACAAGACATCTAATTCATCTTACCCCATGATAATACTTTCATATTTTTTCATGCTACACAACAGCTGTAACGTTTTTCAATGATGGACATTTCACATTTTCAATTGTTTTACATTTATTTAGGGGCCTTTTATAGAGTGCTATGCAGTACATGTTTTTGCTTATTGTTGAAGGGCAGTACAGTAACCTATAGTTGTTAAGTTCTACATCATTTGGTCTCTGGTGGAGAGTTGTCTCATTGTTACCACATCTTCTCATTTTCATATTAGCTGTTAAATTAAATTACATTTAACAAGTGGAACTTGTCTACAAATAACTACAATACCTACTTTGCTGCTTCTATTCCTTCCCATGTTGATGATAATTTAATAAGAATTCTGTCTTTGCTCACACCAGCAGCTTTATACATATCTATTAGTTTTTTAGCTTTAGCAATCATCCCATCTTTGTCAAATGACATTCTAAAAATAATAATATTATGCATTACATACAAAACAACTTAAAACTTAAACAAGACATGATGAAAATTTGAATGAGGTATATATATCAGGTTGAACAATGGTATCAAAATAATGTTTTGTAACTGCTTAACATCTAAATCTGTTTTTGGCTATTCTTGTAAGGTCCCTTTTGGTCATATTTACTGTACACATATATGTGTTTATACATCCTTGACTTTTAAATTTGTGGTTTTGTGTGTTCCTGGTGAGCATGGTGAGGGTAAATTAGAAAATTGTTTAAGAAGCACCACATTTATAAAGTGTTATTACTACCAATATAAACTTCTTTTTCCATATACATATCAAAATATAGGCGAGATTAGGTGCTGGTTCATTTATGGTTATTCCATATTTAATATCTAACCGACCGCAAGTAGTTTTTTGCACTTTGAGTCCTCCATACATATCGCAGACAAAAAATTCTGTTTCGGTTTTCCATATATATATATCTATTTATATTTTCACATGTTACTCTAGTTTCTGTTCGTTTTTGCTTATCAAAAATATTTTGTTAAAAGTTCATCTAAGATTGCATTTTATTGATAAAAATCTATAAGTTATTAAAATATTCTCTAACGGTTTGAAAGTAAAGCTAGAAAATATTGTATTGAATTTATGGGTAATATGCATATGATCCAATTGATTTAGAAACAGGTATGTAGGTGTGTTCAAATCTTTTGTCACTTACTAGCCGCCGTTCATACAGGCATAACTTATAGAAATCATATAAATATATATACATGTATATATTCATGTAGTAATTTTTTAGCAAGAATCATTTGCATTTACATCATCTCTTTCCTTATCCAAAAGATGTTAATAATTGAACAATCAGGTTCTTAAAAAAATAATCCTTTATATGCCTGTCATTGGCTAAAAAACTAACACACATTAATTGTTTCTGCATAGACAACCATTTGTTTAAAAAAATATACCTTGCATCAACCTCTGTTGAAACTCTGCCAGGTACAATTTTCAGAATCTCTAAACCAAACAAAACATATACCTTATCCATGGCAGCTTCTATTTGTTGTTCCATTGTCCTATTTGAAATAAAATTCAAATTCATGACATTAAAAATTATAACATATTTCATGTTGGTACATGTACATAAACATATGTTGTCTACTTCTTGTTTTTGCTCTGATTAAAATGACATGTTTAAGGCACACTTGCGCAGCAGGATATTTTTTTGGTTTCTCAAAAATTTCAGTTATTTTCTTTATTGTCATGTTTTCCAATTTACTTTTCATATAATTTAATGTTCATGTACATGTAAAAAATCAACAATAATCGATAATTTGGTACACCAGATCTGCATTTCGTCTACACACATATATATATATATAAAAGACATAGAATTACTAATATCATGATTATTGTTACTGATTTTTCATTTGAAATGATTCTTCATTAATTGCATTCTAACTTTAATAACATTGATAAAAAATCTCACTTTACATTGCCTTATTTCGATACAATATTAACTGTAATTTTACCCTCCACTTTTTTTGGCAAAGGTAACAGCCTCTTCAATAAGATGTTGGTATGCTGGCATATTTGCTGCTGCTGATATCAGAGAAGGGTTGGTTGTAGCATCAGTAGGCTTATATTCTTTCATAGCTATGAAAAAGTATTGAATAACTTCTGATAAATAATTATAACATGGCATATAAGAGGGTGTGGATGGGGGTTTACAGAATAGAGTATAATTCATTAATTGGCAAAAAATATAAAGAATAGAAAAAAATGGACCAAAAAAATAAACTAAAGAATAGAGAATAATGAGATGCTAAGATGTAAAGAATAGAGAATAATGGACTAAAAGTATAAAAAAAGAAAAATGGCCTAAAAAATTAAAGATACAGAAGGGAAGGACCCCACTCCAGACCCTAATGTATATTCTTTTCCTGTATACATTTTCAACGACAGTTATCCAGCTATAATAAGGGTAAACTATGGGCTTATAGGAGACAGAAACACTAAAATCCTTATCATGCTTATGTTATCATTATTAGTCCTAACAAAATAATATCTGGTAGTCTAACATACTGAATAAAACAGGGTTGGCAGGTAAAATACAAATGCACATCCAACATCAGTGTATTTTGTCTCTGGTGGATAGTTGTCCCATTTGCAATCATACCACATCTCCTTATTTTATATATAAGAAACAATTCACTGTAATTAAATGAATTTTAAAAAAGAAAATTTGCATTTTGCCCAGAGTTGTTGCCTGCATTTTCGCTGCATGAGGAATTTGTGTATTTTCATTTTAATGCAACAAATTCCAATTTATCAAAATGTTTAATGTTTGTAGTACCAATAATGCAACCATATTTCTCAATAGGTCTACTATATTTGCAAAATTAGACATTGTTTTACCATACCACAGTAGGTAATTTGTGTTACATTATTCATACTTTTTATGCTGCATTAACAGCATGCATTGCAACTGAAATTTTGTTTTTACATTTTAATAATTACAAGATTTGAAATTTTTACTTTATAAATTATTTAAAAAAATTTTAAACTGCAAAATTTAAAAATTATCCCTTTATTAGTGCCTCATATATATGTTTTGGCATTTAGCAAGATACATGTTTATGCTAGAGTTAAATGTGGTGCTGTTTTCTATTATTTATTTGCATGCTGCATGCCTTGTTTTATTTGTTATTGCATAGGTTTTTATATTCAGTGAAAAGCTCATTAGAGCTTATGTTTGTATGTTTCATTGTTTGTCAATAATGTCGAATCAAAATAAAGTTTTACTTTTGTTTTAGTGCTGTCAAAATTTTCCAGGAACGTTTGTTATGCACAGTTAAGGTAAACCCATGGAAAAAAGATGTATCAGAATTTTTGGTATAAATTTGTTTGCCCTATTTTCATGTGCATATAGTTGTAAATAACTATTAATATAGAAATCTTTTTATTTCATAAGTAACTTTGACAGCTGTATCATATTAAGTCAATCATCGTGTGCGTACTGTACAGGTGTACACATGTACATGCGACAACAACAAGGGCAAGATCTTCATTTTTTTTTCTCTCGGAAAATCCGTATTTACCTTCGAAATCGCCAGTGTCTGCAACTATGACAGTTAATTCCTTCAACTGGTCCAGTGTTGTCATGGCGGATTTTTTATTCTGAGGTTCAGACATCTCAGGAAATTACTTCATATAATATTTCCGCTAAATCAGGATGCAAAATATGGGACAAACTTTTCTATCAGGCTATATATTGATGTTTGTTGAGCGAAGCATGCAACACCTGACAAGGAACCAGACATAATGACGGAAGCGGTAACTTGAATACAATATTTGGGACAAACTCGGAGACGATATGCATTACCATCTTTAATTATTAGCTTTTTAAAAAGCGTATCCGACTTCAGTATGAAGAAAAATAAATAAAAAGAAAATAGTTTTAATCATTTGGTTAATATTATACAATTACTGTCTTTTGATGAGGTAAAATCTTCCAAATGGAAATAGTAAACTGCAGGAAAAGATTCACTGATGCAGATGGAGATCGCTTATTTGAACAATTTAATAGTGTTAATTTCGGAAACGACTTTATCAATAACCATCAAAATAGTACAGATATAAACAAAATGTGGGAGGAATCTAAAGATGAGATTCAAAAACTTACTGACAAGCACATACCACAGAGAACAATCACACACCAACATGGATACCCTTGGATAACCATAGTACTGCGTAGGATGATGAGGAAAAGGGACAGACTATACAACAAAATTAAAAAAACAGCAGATAACGGGAAAATGAGAACAGCATATAAAAACCTGAAACATCTTGTACAAAAAGAAACACGAAAATGCTACTGGAACTATGTATGAAACATCGTTGCACCAGATGATAAACCAAATCCAAAGAAATTTTTCTCTTTTTTAAAATGCATGAGGAAAGAAACAGCTGGAGTCCCACCAAGGACAAACATCAAATGACACAGTTGACAAAGCAAACACATTAAACCACCAGTTCCAATCAGTGTTTACTGAAGACAACAAAACTGAAATGCCAAATATGGGAAATAAAAAATTCAACACCATGAATGACATCAACATCACAACAAATGGAGTAGAAAAGCTGATGAAAGAACTCAACCCTAACAAAGCAAGTGGGCCAGACCATCTCACCCCAAGAATACTGAAAAAACTCCATCATGGATTAGCTGCAACAGTCACTTTCTTGTTCAATAAATCTATGTTTCTAGGAAAAACACCAACAGACTGGAAACACGCATTTGTTTGTCCAATCTACAAGAAAGGGCCACGCCATGAACCAGCAAACTACAGGCCTGTCTCATTAACCTGTATCCTTTGCAAGCAAATGGAGCACATCGTAGTATCCAACGTCATAAAACATCTAGAAACTAATAAAATACTATCCGAATTCCAACACGGCTTTAGAAGTAAGAGATCGTGCGAGACACAACTCATAGGCCTGATACATGATCTAACATGTACGATGGACTTAAAGACACAAACAGACATGATAGTCCTGGACTTTGCAAAGGCATTTGATAAAGTCAGCCATCCACGCCTGCTACACAAGCTCAGACACTATGGGATAAGAGGGAAAAATCACAAATGGATCACAGCATTTTTAGACAACAGAACACAGGCAGTTGTACTGGAAAATAAGTATTCAGACAAAGTGGGAGTAACATCTGGAGTACCCCAAGGCAGTGTACTTGGACCTGTCCTTTTCCTTATCTTCATCAATGACATCACTGATGATATACAGTCAACAATCCGTCTGTTTGCTGATGATTGCACCATCTACCGGCCAATTAGAACTACCAAAGATCAAGCCATCCTTCAAAAAGATTTGACTACACTGACGAAATGGGAACAGAAATGGAAAATGGAATTTAATGTCAGCAAATGCAACGTGATGCACCTAACAAGATCTAAAACCCCCATAAAAGAACCCTATAACATGCATGGGAAACAACTAGAAGCAGTCACAGACACGAAATACTTGGGAATTACCATCAAAGATGACCTTAGCTGGAACCTACACATAAACAACATTGTAGCCAGTGCAAACCAAGCACAAGGGATGCTCAGCAGAAACATCAAAAAAGCTCCACAACAAACAAAAACCAATGCTGTCAATGCACTTATAAGACCAAGAGTGGAATATAGCGCAGCCATATGGGATCCCTATATACAAGAAAATATTGACAAAATAGAGCGGGTACAAAGAAGAGCAGCTCGCTATATTTTCAACGACTACAGTAACGAATCGAGTGTCACAAGCATGATAAGCAAGCTTAACTGGATACCTCTCTACCAACGAAGAGTGAACATCAGATTATGCCTATTTTACAAAATTGTAAATGGACTAGTAGCAATTCCAACAGATACTTACCTAATTCCACTAAATAGAACATCAAGACACTACAATACCATGGCATACACCATCTTCAGCCCAAGACATGATTACTACAAATTCTCATTCTTTCCAAGAACAGTAATAGCCTGGAATAAATTACCGGAATCGACAGTGAAAGCTCCCACTATCGAAGCTTTCAAGACACTAGTTACCTAGATGATGGAATGTTTTTATCCTGCACCAACTGTACAGCATGCACCGTATTTTCTTTTTTGGTCTTTGATCTTTTATTGTAAATAGACATTACCAACACCTACGTAACGCACAAGTATTGAGTACTCATTATTGAGTTTAACTACTATATCTAAGAAGAAGAAGAAGAAGTGTTATTATCAGTCCAATTACACTGAGACTTTTGGAAGAACCTTCTACTTAAAAGGAGGGATCACAGTATTCTCATACTTCTAACGGTGTCAGCGAGACTTCTTCTAAAACTTTCTTTTAATTAGTAACACAATTCTATGACTAAACATTTCAAGTCTAATGCATTCTGGATACAGATCATTCATTAATATCATGCCCAAGGATTCAATAAGCATGGTCATGCACATCAACTTAATTACACTGTCAATGGTTTGTTGATAAAAAGTGATAACAATTGTCAGTGTTTAATGTTAACCTGCTGCTGAACTCGACGGGAATCAATCATATAACTTAATGGAAACGTTTACACTGATCTGTCGAAAAGATAATACATGTACTTCCAACCTTGATTCCATGTCTTGTTTTTTTAGAAACACGAAACCAAATCTGTGATACACACAAGCTACATGTTCACATGGTTTACAATTTTTAAAAAAAGTACAGAGCCCATAATCATAACACCTGAAGCTATTATACAGAACGAACTATAATAATTCAAATTGTATTCTAAATTAAGTCACACTTCCACTACATATGTTGAACAAAATTTTTAACGAATACTGTAACTGTAATGGCTCCTGCACATGATGATAGAACATACGCATTTCCAACAGCAACAAACGCAATCACTTCAAGACCATCACAAATAATTTTACTACATCAACAGTTAACAGACTTCCACTACCAAAATGTCTATAACGTTTGCAAATGGCATCACTTAATAAACTCACCGAAGATTTGCAATTCGTCACATAATACTTATTAGCGGCGCTCAAATCAAAATAGTCTGAAAGCCCAATAGAATACGAAATTTTAGAACGATGAAAACCAATAATTCCCCATAATTATGAAAAATCTGTCTTTGGCTAATTATCCCTTGAGGTGAAAAGTTTTAGTGTTTCGAATAATTTAAGATTTTATAAAAATAAACTTACAGATAATTATCGTGTACACGATATTTCATGGTAGCACAGAAGTGCCGAGTACTAGGTTTTGATACCTACGGAACAAAAACGTCAACCAGCAGTTGCATGAACATAGTGGTTGTAAATACTATTAAAATATACCAGACTTTTAATGTGCTAAGCTAGACGAGCGTTTCGTCTACATTAGACTCATCAGTGGCGCTTTGATCAAAACAGTTCAAAGTCCGAACCAAATAAGAAGTTGAAGGACAATGAAAACCAAAAATGTATGCAAAGTCTGGGTAAGCAGTTTAATTACAGAAAAATGACCATATCAGAATATTTGATGTCAACAGAGGAGTAGTGTGGTACCATCGGGAACGAAACGTCCAACAACAGTGAAATTGACCTTGCGTTTATAAATGCTAGTGGCAAAAAACCTATACAGAAAACTGAAGATTGAGCAATGATTATTTGTTATGAGATATGCAATTTATTTCAAGAACTGTTGGCAATAAAAGGGCCAAATGATTCTATAACAGACCCTTTCACACCAGTCTATTTAAAAGAATTTAAGAGTGAGCAAAAACAAACCCACTAACAATTTGGGATTAACCAGGGTGCATACGAGGGGTAAACCGTTCCTTTAGCAACAGGTGGAACTCGTCTTGTTGTTCATGACAGTAAATCTCCGGATATAAGTCGCACTAAGTGATATCATTAACTAGGATAGAAGGATGGGACTGTGGCGTGAACGGTCACTACATCATGATTGGCGTTAATTGCATACTTGGTAATACAGTTCCAGCAAAGTTCACGTGATACGTCTGAAATTTCTAAGTAACGACAATACTCATAAACACAACAGCATGAGTTATTACTACCAACTCTGACTTTTTTTAAGAGTAAACAACAATTACGTAAGCTATAACTTCAAATGCTGAACAAGCAACGTTTACTGAACTGAAAACTACATCTAAACAAGTTTTTACCACCAACGACATTCCTACTGCAACAACAGAATCCATAATGGAATTCTATGCGACTGTCATATATGTCATACAAGTTAGAGGTTTAGCTAGCTATAAAAACCAGGTTTAATCTACCATTTTCTACATAAGGAAATGCCTGTGCCAAGTCAGGAATATGACAGTTGTTTTCCATTCGTTTGATGTTTGAGCTTTTGATTTTGCCATTTTATAAATGACTTTCCGTTCGGAATTTTTGTTTTTTTCTTTTTTCAACACTACACCGTCACAATGGACTTAATTAACGAATATAAAGCTCTATTGGTGGTGGTGGTGGTGGTGGGAGGGACACAGTAATATCGACCTAACAAATGCAAATGAAAATACCACTAAAATTTTTTAAACAACCACATATGTCATAAATACTAAATATAAGCAGCTTCTGCAGTTATTGATCATACTACTTAACATCAACAAAACGGAAAATGGCAAAACTATGCAACAGTAATTAATTCAATTGCAAAATGCAGTGGAATGAACATGAATATGCGTCAACATAGTTATTAAACCAAGAGTTCAAAGGAGTGAAGTTGAAATCATCACTTCGTAAATTTTACGGACGCCATCACTAGTTGGTTGACAGTTATGGAATATCCGTTTTGCAGATGACAGTGGATATATTCCAATTGTCGTAACTACAATGCCACCCCCTTTTCCCCGAATGTGACCTATCGAATTAGACTTATTACCGGGTTTGTACAAACATGAGCAACACGGCGCGTGCCACATATGGAGCAGGATCAGCTTACCCTTCCACAGCACCTGATATCACCCCCAGTTTTTGGTGGGGTTCGTGTTGCCCAGTCTTTAGTTTTCTATGATGTGTTTTGTGTACTGTTGTTTGTCTGTTTGTCTGTTGGTCTTTTTCCTTTTTTAGCTATGGTGTTGTCAGTTTATTTTCTACTTATGAGTGTGAATTTCCCTTTCAATTGGTATCTTTCGCCTCTTCTTGACAACAGACATAACTACAACCCAGACTGTCACTAATTCTTCGGATCAAACGTCAATCGAATTTTCAACAACCACACAACCATTTGCAAAAAAACGTGGAGCTACTACAACGAAAGACAGAATTAAATCAACTCAACTCATAACTCGAAAAAAAAAAAACTTTCAGTGTTAGCTCACTACAAGGTCTGAACAAATCTTAAATTTGATGCTTTGACAACGTTCACTGCGAAAGATCATGCAACCAAAATATTTTCAATTACAGTGACAAAATGTAGCACCCTCTATAACTACTGAACAAAACACAAGTATGTTGCCAAAGACAACTACAATAGGCACAACCACAGAATTTTCTATTTCGCTTAAAGACGCACCAACTATTAAAGACACAAGCTTACATTGTATTTTCATTTTCAACAGTAGAAGTTATAGATACAACTAAGTTAGTATCTACAAATGCACTAGATAATCAAACATTATAAAGCCTTCCATTTTTATTGCAATACATGGGGGAAAACCAGTTTAAACTGTTTACACTAGCTCAGCCATTTCATCAATTTCTGCCATTTTTTCTAGACGCAAACACCTACTTTTGTCTTCAAGGACAACAGTTGATTGTATTTTTCAAGAACATTAATACTGTTTGCCATGTTCGAAACATTACTGTGTGTTACTTTCTAAACTTAACCCTGTGCTTCATTCTGACAATTACTAGACGTACCGTTCTGATAACTATTGTGTGTGTTACTTTCTGAACTTTACTTAAATGTTACATATGTAATTTGACATGTGTTCATCTAGGTAACGGTTAATTGTACAGATAAATTTACACATTCAATCATCCATTTTTGGCGCTTTTAAATACGAAATTTTTAGTAAATAGCGTTTTGATATATTTTAACAACTGTATTTAGCTCAAATGAATAATAGCCGTATTGAACGTTCAAAATTGTGATTATAAAAGTCAATTATTGACTGTTTTAAAAGTTTTTAACGCTTATTGAATATGAAACTGCAAGTTTACGAGTGTACAGTAAACTTAATAACCCATATTTATGTGAGTGAGTATATACATTGTGAACTTGTCTTCGATGTTGCCACAGATGGACGTCTTCAAACAAGAATCTATGACAAACATGTTGAAATCAACTTTCCTATTGTTAACTTTCCCATTTCTCAGCAGTAACATATATCCTCTGCACCATCATATGGCGTTAACATATCTCAACTAATACGTTACGCTCTTACATGTTCACAATATGCGGAATTTATTAAGAGGAATGTGCTCCTTTCACAAACATTGCTCCAACAAAATTATGAGGAAGAACGACTGAAGTCGACACTTCTTAAGTTATTGGATCACCATCACGAATTGGTTGACCGATGCGATTTGTCAGTGTCTCAGCTTACTAGCGACATGTTTTTGGGATCTTAAGATACCAGAATACCAGTATAGTCGTCTTATCAATATTTTAACCGATTGTGTCCTATTCCCGATTGTAATTTTTTTTACCGTGTGTGGGTTCGCATGGCGATGTAGAGGACGCTTAGTACCCTATCGTCGCACCGATATAGCCCCTCTTAGAGTTACTGTAATTCCATTCGTTTTTGTTTGTGACCTTGATTTTTGTATCTTCTCAATCGATTTATGAGATATGAACATCGGTAATTAGTTATCAAAGGTACCAGGATTATAATTTAATACGCCAGACGCGCGTTTCGTCTACATAAGACTCATCAGTGACGCTCAGATCAAAATAGTAAGCCACTGTTCTCTAAATATATAATTATTTGCATCTTCCAAGTACAAATTTGTAGATCTGAAAAAAATTGTTAAAGTCGGACATTTTAATTTAGAATTATAAAACGCAGGCATGTCTACATATTTCAGCCTTTTATACTATTATTTCTTTTGAATTGAAACCTTCGACTTCTCTCATGTAACAATTCCCACAATTTGTAAAAGTTGAATAAACGCCTTTTTTGTTTACCGAGAAAATGCCATGATTTTGCATGATGACAATTATAAACAAGATTAATTATTACTTATATCATATGTATATATGTCAAATAATCTTCTTTGATATATTTTTAATGTACGATCGTGGTTATAAAATAGTTTAATTAAGTATTGTTACCGACGTAAACATAATCATAAGAATAATTACTTTTCTATCGTTCGCGCTTTAGCAATTTATACCTATGTTTTTTGCATCATAGGAGCATTTCTAAAATCCATGTTTTGTCAGTGGTACTCAATACTAAAGAAATCGAAGGTAAGAAGAGTAATAAACCAAACAATAGTAGTAAAAAGGAAGTCAATACAAGGGAACACTTGGTCATAAGGATGACAATTTTAGTTGACACATAACTTGCAAAATTAATACTTAATTAGACTTACTGATATGCACAAAGACTAGCACCAAACATGATATTCTTAATAATAATCGCAAATAAGTTGCATACATTTTCTTTTTTATTTAAAGTTTTATGAGTTATAACTGAAAATGACAGACCTTTTTTTTTTTTATTAATAACAATATATAAATATAAATAAAAACAGCAATGATATTAAAACATAAGTTCAAAGTTTTCAGACTTGCTGTTTAATTCATTTCGTTATATACATCGATAATATTATAATACTTTCCCTGAAAAAAAAACATTATAAAGGCCTGATACAATATTTCATGATTTAAGATGCTTTCCCTTTCATCTATCATTTCAGTGAACATCAAATGAATGCTTCGCTACTCACGAGCATTATCACCTCTTCTTGGCGATTACATCAAAACTTTGTTTCTTTCATTTTTCATTCAGATTATCTTTCCTTTAATACGAAGACAATTCTTGAAATGCATCATAAACCGATAACTTAAAACAATGTACCAGTTTCTGTCACATTCATACTTGTGGAGTTTTTTTGGATTTTCCGTGGTGTTATCTGTACTATAGATGAGTAATTTCCTGTAATAGAAATACATTTAAGTTTCATTCAACTAATTGCAAACATGTTTATTCGTCTGGCAAGTCACATGGGTTATTATTCTGAATAGAATAATGCTTCTTCGACCAGCTTAAATAAAAATAAGGAGATGTGGTATGATTTCCAATCCCAAAGTTCAAATGAAGTAGATGGAAGCAATTATATGCAACCGTACGGCCTTCAACAAGGAGAAAAACCGTATAGTCGGCTATAAAAGGCCCCGACATGAACAATGCGAAATAATTCAATTGAGAAAACTAACGACCTAACTTATAAGTAAGTTTATAATGTATGCAAGCTTTAAATGATCAATTGGTTTCTTAGTAATATCTTAATATCGCTACTAAAATATTGTTATTTTGTTTTTCTCTCGTTAATATCTCACAAAGTAAGATTTACGAGATAGCTAATGTTGCATGTCCTAATTGGCCATGAAAGCTGCCCCTTAATAACTATTATCAATAAATAAGTTTCCCAGCAACCCAAAAATTTGTTTTGTAAGCAGATTATTAGATACAATTCAGTAAGAAAAATATAAATAAACCATTTCATACAAGAGTTTGACTGTCCCTCTGGTATCTTTCGTCCCTCCTTCATACAAATTTGTGTTAATTACTTATTAATATTGTACCGAAGTTGTCGGTTTGTTGTTGGATCAGACCGTGCATTTTCTAACCAATGTGTAAATAAATGTTAATTTCGCTCTAGAAGGGATTTCAAAATGTAAACTAATGTCCAAAATTAGCCCCAAAGGGTGTCTTAAGATAAACATGGTAATTTCATTATGATAAGTTGTATATTGAAATGTGGTATGATTGCGAATGGGACAACTTTCCACCAGAGTTCAAATGGAGTGGGTATAATACTCACCAGATAGCCAAAGGACTCTGTGTTCTGGAATCTTTCTCCTAGATCACCAAGGTCTTCATAACCATCATTATCAACATCCCCTAGCTGCAGTTTTGTGTCGCGGTGGTAAACGTTAATACTTTCTTCGTCCTTTTCATATCTGAAAAGATTATAATCGGTAATTTTTGACCATAGGTTTTAATTTCTAGTATTATTATCAGTATCTCACAGACGTTTAATACAGTATACTACAATTTTACAAGTTCATACCACTTCAATTACAGTTCGAAGTGACCATCTTGGTACATAACATTGACAATAGATACTTGTACGTAGCCTTTAAACGTCAGTTTATCTCAACCAAAAGGAGATAATCTATCTGGGTTTTACCCTTTACCGTGTTAAAATTCAGATCATAGTATTATGATTGTGATACAGTAAAAGCGCAATGTTGTAGATATCAAAGCCAATAACGGTATAAAAAATAAATCTATACATACAATGGAGTTCTACTTTGAAAGTTTGTTTTAAAAGTAAAATGATAATACTCACAAAACCTTGTAAACTAACCATATTAAAATAATTGGCATGTCTTTATAGATGTTGTTTTCAATTTACAAGATAATTAAGTATTTTACAAACAACAGATAAAATTTGAGAATAACTCGGCTGATTCGTTGATTTATTGGAAAAGTGTCGTTTGTTCATTTAGAATTGTGGAGCTTGTGCATGTTCACATCAACGGTGATCTCCTGACATAAAACTACCCAAAGAGAGTTATGAAGAAAAACAAATTAAATCGACTGAGCACAGTTGTTACGGTCACCATCACGAATTGGTTGGCCGGTATGATCCTAGTTCTGTAGATAACAGAAGAATTGTCTGATCAATCAAATTATCAATGGGGTCCTATTCCCGATTTTTATATTTCGACTGAGTGTGGATTTGCATGGCGGGTACTGCATGCATAGAAGGAAACGCTAACCATGTCGAGGCACCCGGTATAGAGTAAATGAAATTCCCTCAGTGTTTTTTTATACCTTAGTTTGTATTGCACTTTTTTGACAACCATTCATTTGAAGATTGAAAAGCAATTAAGATAAAGTTTGTTGCAACTTAAGTACCTCAATGTGCTGAATACAGTTTGGTGTCAACGACCATGCCATATTTTCTACTCATCTTGGTTTTAGAATAGTGGTGTTTCATTTAGACAAGGTTAAAAATGTTCACAAAAAAAAATACCGAACTCCAAGGCAAATTCAAAAAGGGGAAGACAATACAAACTGACAAAACCAAACGCTATAAATCAACGGAACAAGTGAAAACAAAATCAACTGCCATATTCCTGACTTGGTACAGACATTTTCCGAAGCATGCAGCCAAATAGATACTCTTATTGTATATATGTGATTAAGTGACAGGACATTTTCAAGGTTTCATAGCTTTTTTTTAGGTTATTGTACAAACAATGATCTCCGCAAGAAAAATTGTATTTTGACAGGTATCAAAATCTTTGTAGTAACAGAAATCTCTTGCAATTTGTTGTTTGTAGATCTTAATCACCGAGTCACCCGTGGTAGAATCTGGTATATATAAACTCATCATAGATACCAGGATTGAAATTTTATACGCTAGACGCGCGTTTTGTCTACAGAAGACTCATAAGCGACGCTCGAATTTTAAAAGTTGAAAAGGCCAAATAAAGTACGAAGTTGAAGAGCAAAGAGGACCCAAAATTCCTAAAAGTTTTGCCAAATACAGCTAAGGTAATCTATGTGAGTAAAGAAAACGTCAATTGGAGAATAAACCAGTAACACCTATATATGTAAAATAATATCTTGATATGCTAAGCTTCTTTTCTTAAATTCTGTACACAGTTGGGTAAAAAAGAAACAATGTTAAATAAATATATTTCATATTTTAGAAAGGATAAAAGTAATACGAATATTCAAACAATGTTGAAACAATATATAAATATATACAATGATATATTTTCAATACGTAGTATAAACCTTGTGGTAATGAAATAATAGACACTTACACGCTGTATTTTCTGCTGTATCGTTTATAAGAGCAGAATCCAAGACAAATCAAAAGGACAATAAGGATAATTCCAGCAGAGACCGAAACTCCAATTATCAATGGTTCGTCATTCTTAACTTCTACTTGTTTGTTATTTACTAACTCGCAATTACTTCCACTATAGATATATTTTTCATTCTCCGCGCAACTGGAATAAATAATGGAATACTTGTATATACATTATGGACACAAGAGGGGACCATCTTCTATTTTATATTAATATTTATATTTCAAAGAAGTTGCAAATGTCAACTTATTGATAAACTCAATCAAGGAAAGGAATTAACTCAATATTTGAGAACATCTTCAGAAGCAGTGACATGTACATACATTTCGTATAAGACACAACTTTGCTCCTTTTTTTTTGCAATCTATTACTGTGGATTCATTTATTTTCGTGGGTACCAATTTTCGTGTTTGAGGAAAACTTGTATATTCGTGGATATTTAATTTCGTGGTTTTTTGCAAATTCTTAAATATATTCCTTTAGAAAGTTTGCAATTCGTTGTATATTTAAATTCGTGGTTCCCCTGTACCCACGAAATCCACGAAAACTGGTATCCAACGAATATTAATGAATCCACAGTATTACAAACCTAAAAACTGATAATTTCCGAAAATCAATTGTCATTGGCATATTTCAGAACCAATTCAACGTTGTTCATAACATTTACAATTGTTTCGATATATTTAATAGAAATGACAACACGGATTTTGGTTCGAAAAAAGTCGTACTTGTAGATGTATTTAAATGGTATCAATATTAAGAGAGAACTAACGTTGTGATGTAATAAGACATAAGGCATTATGAAAACGTTAAGAAAGATAAGGAGCCTACAAAATAGACCCTCGTAATCCCTAAAACTGTGGGAAAATGATTAGAATCGAACATTTAAGCAACAACACGGAATACGTTTTGTTAAGATAATCGTGCCTGAATAATTTAAAAATAAATTATTGATAAATAAAACTTGACCTACCTAAAGACTAGATTTTGTTTGTTGAAGCAGATTTTTGCTCAAAATTGCAGTACGATAAAAAAATATGAAATTAACCTTAATAATAAAAAGTGAAATATAAGAAAGCAGACACGTTTATTCTTAGACATGTTAGAAGTGTAATTGCATTTTCATAACATGTGTTTTAAGCTTACTTGCAAAATACACTGCTTTCATTCAAATAACATATTCCACCATTGAGGCATAAATGATTATTACATTTATGTTCACAAATTAAAGATGATCCAAGTGATTTTTTGCAAACATACCCTGTCGGACAGATGCCAGTGGCAGAACATTTATTTTCAAGCGTTGTTTTTGCTGAAATGATATAAATAGAACTAGTGATCTTTAAAAAATCCATCTATTTTATGAAGTATTTGATTAAAAATAGATCTATAATGCAAGTATATACTTAAAAGACATTTTAACATCCAACCATTCTTTTTTCAAAAAGTTTGAATGGTCATGAAAATAACGAAGATTCAAAATTCAAATATTGATTTTTGGAAATTTTAAAATCAACATAATTAACACAAATTTAAAAACATTATACTACAAACTCATTTGTTGAATGTAACACAAATACAAATGTTCAAACCTGCTTCCACAGTCACTGACAGTAGTGATAAATGACAAAAAACCACAAAAAAATTTAAACTGGTTCTTATTTAGAATAATTTTAAATTAACATTTGATCATATTGTTGTATTTCTCTTGAGATTAAAGATATTAAGATACATTTTATTGAATATAAAAATAAGAAGATGTGGTATTACAGACAAAGAGACAACTCTCCACACAGACGACGACGACAGACGACGGACGACGACGACAGACGATGGACGACGACGGACGCCAAGTGATGGCATAAGCCCACATTGGGTCTTTCGGGCTCGGTCTTGAAGCACCCAAATAAAATTTAATTGTTTTTTAAACAAAATGATTTAAAAAAACACAAAAAATTCAGTGACTTCATGACACAAACAACATATTTACCACTTCGAAGAAAATAGTTCCCATGGTCCTTTAGGTAATCATCTGTTAAATTATAACCTCTAAAAATTACAGAATTCTGTAGTGTAGCCTTCTTCTCAAGTAAATAAGCAAAAACCTTTTCGCTGTCAACAGAAGCCGATACCTTAATTCGATAGTCCACAACGACACTGCCTTGTCTGAAACAGACAATACATTTATGTCAATATATCAACGCTGCAAGACGTTTCGGCCATACTACCAGTTAGGCCACAATCGTTTCGGACATACTGCCAGTTCAGCAATATTTTGTAAAGTCGTTTCTGCCTTGGTTTTTATTATTATAAGGAGAGGAAAAAATATGTGTTTTAGAAGCAGAAGTTGAATAATAAATGGAAAAAATACACTTTAATTCTACATTTAGATTTATAGATAAAAGAAAGGACGTATGTTATTAGTCATATGTTCTTAATAAAAGTGTGTATCAAATTATGAATGTTATAAGAATAATCGTTAAACTTCTTTCAATTGTTGTAATTTGTTTTTACTGTAAAATCCAAGCGTTAACAAAACCGCTAGAAAAATCTCATCTTCTATTATTTCTTTCTTTTCTTTTCTGTTCATTTCTAATTTTATACCAGGTCTAGAAACTTATGACACAAACAGTCAACATTACCAGAAGATGGTCCTTTCTCGTAGTGCTGATATGATTATATTATGCTTGCATGCATGGATAAGAAAATATTACAAACAAAACATCATTAGTTACTTAGATTAGTTTTACTGTTTATAAAATGTTGAATGATTCGAGACACTAAGGGTTTTCTACCCTTAGGCATAGATTGCCTTAGCCGTATCTGTAGAAACCAATAAAATCGTCTGATCTGGTTTTTTTACCAATTGTTTCCTATTCCCGATTGAGGCATTTTGACTCAATCTCTTCCTAATCGATAAACGACATTTGAACATTGGTAAACTACTGACGCCTTTATCTGATTCATTTTGTTCGAAATATTCGTTTTTTTTATAAACGCTCTTCTACTTTATATTTGGCCTTCCAACTGCTTTGATGCAAGCACCACTCATGAGTTTTTTGTAGACGAAACGCACGCCTGGCGTACCAAATTATAAGCCTGATATCTTTAGTTATTTGTTTGTACATGCACTAATAGAGCTTATAAGATTAACTTTGAATACTGCATAGGACTTCAGAAGTGGAACCTAACGAAATTGTGCATTGGTTGTTACATGACTTTATCAAATTTATTGCAAAAATTAATATATCCACCCACTGGACAATGAAAACAATGGCCGAAAGAAATCAGCACGGCAGTCTTTTATCAAGAATCAAACCTCCATTAATCATGATATACAAAGAAACAGTCATTTTATACAGGCATCAGAAAATAGAGTACTAATATGGACTGATACTTACATGTACCTTACAATTAATAATGACATAAATCCTGGCATATGCTTGTATAGTACCAGCAACTGAAAATATCCAAATTATATTAAACTCTACTTGAATTGACAAAAAAAAGTTTAAACATCTTACGCTTATCTTTAAAATTTTCTTAGTGTCAAGTTGAAGTGACTGGATTTGCACTATATTTTACTTTTACAGCAAGCCTGATCAGCTTTTAACTAGAAGTTCTACCGAGCCTGCAGCATCACTTAAATATACGACCAATGTCAACAATGGTCACTGTCGAAAAACCAACTTAATCTTCTTAGATTAAGAAGCAATTAACCTTTACGGCATTTATGGAAAATGTTCACTAATTTTCAAATCAAGCAGAATAAAGAATTACTTTTTACTATTTTGTCTTGTTTTCAGTGAAATAGAATGCAATGAGAATAAAAAAAATGTTTTATCAAATATTAGTATCAACTGGTATTTTACAACACTTTACGGATTTGTTATTTCATCTTTTGTCTAATATATCATTTCTTGTAACAACTACGGAAATGACAAAATTTTTAATCTGGTTTTGGTAACTTAAACTCAAAAATTGGTAGCAAGTGGTCCTTCACATGATTTTGTTAATGATTTCAGTTTTTCAAAAAATGATTTTTTTCATGATGATTGCATGTTATAACTTGGGTTAAACAACATAACTCTGAAGAGGGGGTTATTACTGTATCTTTGAAGTTTTGCATTATTTATTACTAAACGTGGTTTTAAAAATTCATATGACAAGGATAATTCTATTATAACCATATTGACAGAAAAAAAAATACACCATCATGCTAATAGTGGACAAAAAGTATTTAGCGAAAACTGACTTTTATTTGTATCTTCCTAATTGTTCGATGAGATTTAAACTTCAGTAAACTACTTTACCTAAATTTTATGATTATTGTAGTTCGCTATGGCGAATAATCGCACCAACGCTAATTGAACTTTATATATGCTTAAACAAATACAGTACTGCGGCTTTCTCCACTAATCAAAACTGTAGTCATTTCTGCTGAAAGTAAAATTTAACACCAAAAATCAATCAATCAATCAATCAATCAATCAATCAATCAATCAATGTTAAATAAGTATATACCATGACCCAATAAAAAGGATGTAGATAAACCATATCCCTTCAAAAGATACAACATAACTTCCCACTATTAAAAAGAACGATTATCAAAACCAAACCTAGTCTGAGCATGGAAGAATTAAGGTAATAGGTTATGTGTTCGTTTTTACGATGCTTAATTGAGAGAGCATCGATTTTCACAATGTGTCCGCTTATCGTTCTGTCGTCATTATGTAATGAAACACTAAACACTACTATTGTAAAAGATATTTTAAAAAATCAACGTGAATGTTAAATGTCACACACATACAACTTACAAGAATGTGTACACCACAAAAGAAAACGCAACTGAAAATACATGAAGGCACAAAACACTCAAACATAAAGGATTTTAAACGTCACAAAAAGATGATAGTAAGATATATGAGAGGGACGAAGGAATGTTAAGATAGATTTAGATAGGGAATTTGAGTTGCATGCATAGAGTAATGGCGGTTATCACATTTTAACTAAAGTTATTGAGAAACCACAATTACACATTTTTTTTACAGTTGTCTGTTAAACTGTGCAATTTGAAATATACATGCATACTGTCTTACTTTCAATTCTTTCACAGAAAATGCATCGATACATTGTTTCTTAAACTGTTAATCTTGTAATATTTCCATGAAAGGACAATCTTTCATGAAAATATATCGCCTATATGAAAATAAAAGGATTATCAGTAATCCCTTGTCGGTTTAAAAAGGGAAATGTTCTTAAAAAAAAACAACTTTATTTTCAAATTTTTGTATAAATGCATCGAATTTGTCTAAAAGCTAAATAATCCTCTCTGATTAACAATTGTCTTTTTTATTTTCGCCTGAACCTTTCGGATTTAGCTTTTGGACATATGTTATCAGTTTAACCATAATCTAAAAATATGATGTTAGCCCCTTAGGATTGATGTGAATGCATCTAAATCTCAACATTATTCCAAAACCTACCAGTTATCTGGCAGAAACAACTTAGCAAATACCTGTTTTAACTTGTTGTCATCTTTAAATTATTAAATGAAAATTTTTAGGTAACAAATACAAGAAAGCGTCAATACACTCTATTATCAGAGATCGGTACAGCAGATACTGAGATAAGTGTTCCCAATCCTACCTACCTTTTCTCTTCGTCCCCGGTGGGACATAACCCTATATGTTCCCGATCGCTATTACACAATTTTTTTTGCTATAGTGTACAACCGATTTCTTTCCAATTTTCCAATTGCCATTGTAATGAAATGGATTCGCATTCGTATACAGCAGATTTTGATCTTTGTATGGCATTGCCGGTGGACGTTTAGTCCACCATGGTATCACCATCCCCACTTTTGTGATTAGTACATGAAATACCATTGATTTATTCATTTTCCGTAAATTTTAAATGGAAGAATTATTCGAAACGTTTTTCTACCCCCAGGAATGGATTGCTTTGCCGTGTTCTTCAACCTCGTATTTGATTTGGCTATTCAAATATCCTGATTTGAGTGCCACGGACAAGTCTTATGTAGACGAAACGAGCGTCTTGCGTACCAAATCATACGACTGATAACTTTGATGACTTTTACCTTTTGCATCTGCTGTATCGATAGCCGGTTATAGGGTAGAGGTATAGTCAAAATAAACATAACAATCACAATTATAAAGGATTGTTTAAACATTAAACAAATTTGTGTGACACAATACATGTAGTTATATTTTCCTTTCAAACAGAAAATTATATAGTATACTGTAACACATATTTTGAAATTACACAAATGCGCCCTTTTTTCCTGGTTTGTGACGTCAACGAATAAATTAATTGTATGACAGGGATAATCCTACGTCAGCTGTAGCCATTATATCTGAGACATAACAAAGAAATAGTTGGTGCTAGGTAAGTTCAGATAAATTAACTGATTTCTTTCCTTTCTAATAAGTAAGTTGGTTGACAGGAAATATTGTTAAGTATTTAAGGTGGTACCCAACACTTTGACTAAAAAATATTTGGCTCGTTTAATTTTCATAAAAAATTGACAAAAAATTTACTTTGACCTGTTGACAAAAAATATAAACATTTCAATAAATTTGAACCACACAATTTACAAGAATAATTTCACGGATATATAGCAGTTTGAAAACACTAGTTTTGATCATTGAGAATCTTGATTTCTCTTTACTACTAGTATGTGATTTAAACGTTCATCAGATTTTTAAAGGGTTAACTCCCTTAGGTGTTCTGTATCATCTTAATTTAGATTCTTACCTCTTCGCTTATGTGTTTACTAATGGTCTGGTACGCATCAGTATGAGGATAGTAGTAATCGTTTGTCCATTGAATACATAAAGATATCGTCAATTTAATGGTAAAATATGCTGAATCTGAAAAAGAACCATAGTACTGTAAGATTATGACAACAGTTGCACTTACATATCATTCGATCTGTTTTAATCATTGAGACACTTCTGAAACCTGAATGCTGATGGGCGTCTCAGTATTTTTGAAAGAGGGTCAAATCCATTGATAATTCCTGTATAGACCAAAATATAACTGAAAAACAGTATTTTTATCTAAGCGAATAATATCTATTTGTGATTACTTAGGTGGGTGTGACTGCTCTTCATCAGCCAAAGGAGTTATCTTTTAATTTACTTGGTACAGTAATAACTTTCTTTGCCGGTTGTTCCAAGTTATAATTCAGTATTTGGCATCATATTCCTTCTGTTTTAAAAAATCTGAATACATTTTATTCTATCATACTATTTACTGCTTCACCTATTAACTTTTTTATCTATTTATTTATTCTGAAATAAGTTTTCACCCTATGTTTCCAAAGTAGCTACCGATTGAAGTTTAATATAGCAAACATATATTCAAATATTATCTAAATTTGGAATAAGTGATATTGAAATTTTATTTATAATTTAAAGCAATACTTTTTACATTTTAGGTATTGTAAATTCATAATTATTCATTAGGTTCAAATATGGATTTCTTGTGCATAGTTAAACCAATAATTTTAATGTTTAACAATATAACATTATCCAATAAACTTGTGTGAAAAAATCTGTTAACACCAGGAAATTAAGTATCTTAGAAAATTATATTTTCGTAAATCCACCAAAATTGGTACCAACAAAAATAAATCTATGAACAGTTTATAGCAAATAACGAGTATTGCAATATATAGAAAATATGAATTCACTTTTGCACTACAATCATTGTTATGGTTGTCCAAGATCCATATGCAAAAAAAAAAACAAAAAACAAAAAAAACAACTATAACAAGTTCTTAATAATTTAATGGGGTCTTTATGCTGCCATAATGATCAATTGCTTATAAAACTTTAAAGATACCTAATATATTGAAAAGACAACATAACAATATGAATTTACTTTTGGACTACAATCATTGTTATTGATGTCCAAGATCCATATGAGAAAAAAACTATTACTACTACTTAATAATTCATTGGGCCTTTATGTTGCCATGATTATTAATTGCTTATAAAATGGAAAGGTACTTGATACATGTATATTGAAAAGGACAACATAAAGCTTTTGCTTAGACTTTCCATCATGGAAAACCGTCCTCATATGTAAAATAATGTATAACTGAAAAGCTTACCAAGCAGTAGTTCCTGATTATCATACTTTGCTATGTTGGCTGCATAGGATAGTGGTGTTGACACAGAAATATTACACCAACCTCCCACTGTATAACAATAATATTCACATATAAACTTCTCTGATGGCGTTGTTGTTGGCGTTGTTGTCATGACCGTTGTTGTAACAGCCATTGTGGTAGTAGCTTCAGTCGTTGTTATCTGTGGTGTAGTTGTAGCTTCAGTCGTTGTTATCTCTGGAGTAGTAGTAGCTTCAGTCGTTGTTATATCTGGAGTTGTGGTAGCTTGAGTAGTTGTTACCTCTGGTGTAGTAGTAGCTTCAGTCGTTGTTATTTCTGGTGTAGTAGTAGCTTCAGTCGTTGTTTTCTCTGGAGTAGTAGTAGCTTCAGTCGTCGTTATCTCTGGTGTAGTAGTAGCTTCAGTCGTTGTTATGTCTGGAGTAGAAGTAGCTTCTGTCGTTGTTACCTCTGGTGTAGTAGTAGCTTCAGTCGTTGTTATCTCTGGAGTAGAAGTAGCTTCAGTCGTTGTTATCACTGGAGTAGTTGTAGCTTCAGTCGTTGTTATCTCTTGCGTAGTCGTTGCTTCTGTCGTTGTTATCTCTGGTGTAGTAGTAGCTTCAGTCGTTGTTACCTTTGGAGTAGTAGTAGCTTCAGTCGTTGTTATCTGTGGAGTAGTAGTAGCTTCAGGCGTTTTTTTCTCTGGTGTGGTAGTAGCCTCAGTCGTTGTTACCTCTGGAGTAGTAGTAGCCTCTATCGTTGTAATCTTTAGCGTCGTTGTAACTTCAGCCGTTGTTATCTCTGGTGTGGTAGTAGCTTTAGTCGTTGTTACCTGTGGAGTAGTAGTAGCTTGGGTCGTTGTTATCTCTTGTGTAGTAGTAGCTTCAGTCGTTGTTAGCTCAGGAGTAGTAGTAGCTTGTGTCGTTGTTATCTCGGGCGTAGTAGTAGCTTCAGTCGTAGTTATCTCGGGTGTGGTAGTAGCCTCTGTCGTTGTAATCTCTGGTGTCGTTGTAGAGTGAGTCGTTGTTATCTCTGGTGTAGTAGTAGCCTCAGTCGTTGTTACCTGTGGAGAAGTAGTAGCTTCAGTCGTTGTTACCTTTGGAGTAGTAGTAGCTTCAGTCGTTGTTATCTCTGGTGTAGTAGTAGCCTCAGTCGTTGTTACTTCTGGAGTAGTGGTAGCTTGAGTCGTTGTTACCTCTGGAGTAGTAGTAGCCTCTATCGTTGTAATCTTTAGCGTCGTTGTAACTTCAGCCGTTGTTATCTCTGGTGTGGTAGTAGCTTTAGTCGTTGTTACCTGTGGAGTAGTAGTAGCTTGGGTCGTTGTTATCTCTTGTGTAGTAGTAGCTTCAGTCGTTGTTAGCTCAGGAGTAGTAGTAGCTTGTGTCGTTGTTATCTCGGGCGTAGTAGTAGCTTCAGTCGTTGTTATCTCGGGTGTGGTAGTAGCCTCTGTCGTTGTAATCTCTGGTGTCGTTGTAGCTTGAGTCGTTGTTATCTCTGGTATAGTAGTAGCCTCAGTCGTTGTTACCTGTGGAGAAGTAGTAGCTTCAGTCGTTGTTACCTTTGGAGTAGTAGTAGCTTCAGTCGTTGTTATCTCTGGTGTAGTAGTAGCCTCAGTCGTTGTTACTTCTGGAGTAGTGGTAGCTTGAGTCGTTGTTATCTCTAGTGTAGTAGTTGCTTCAGTCGTTGTTACCTCTGGAGTAGTAGTAGCTTCATCCGTTGTTACCTGTGGAGTAGAAGTAGCTTCAGTCGTTGTTATCTCTGGTGTGGTAGTAGCCTCTGTCGTTGTAGCTTGAGTCGTTGTTATCTCTGGTGTAGTAGTAGCTTCAGTCGTTGTAATCTCTGGAGTAGTAGTAGCTTCAGTCGTTGTTACTTTTGGAGTAGTAGTAGCTTCAGTCGTTGTTATCTCTGGTGAAGTAGTAGCATCAGTCGTTGTTACCTCTGGAGTGGTGGTAGCTTGAGTCGTTGTTATCTCTGGTGTAGTAGTTGCTTCAGTCGTTGTTATCTGTGGTGTAGTAGTAGCTTCAGTCGTGGTTATCTCTGGCGTAGTAGTGGCTTCAGTCGTTGTTATCTTTGGAGTAGTAGTAGCTTCAGTCGTTGTTATCTCTGGTGTAGTAGTAGCTTCAGTCGTTGTTATCTCTGGTGTAGTAGTTGCTTCAGTCGTTGTTATCTCTGGTGTGGTAGTAGCTTCAGTCGTTGTTATCTCTGGTGTGGTAGTAGCCTCAGTCGTTGTTATCTCTGGCGTAGTAGTAGCTTCAGTCGTTGTTATCTCTGGCGTAGTAGTGGCCTCAGTCGTTGTTATCTTTGGAGTAGTAGTAGCTTCGGTCGTTGTTATCTCTGGTGTAGTAGTAGCTTCAGTCGTTGTTATCTCTGGCGTAGTAGTAGCTTCAGTCGTTGTTATCTCTGGTGTAGTTGTTGCTTCAGTCGTTGTTATCTCTGGTGTGGTAGTAGCTTCAGTCGTTGTTATCTCTGGTGTGGTAGTAGCCTCAGTCGTTGTTATCTCTGGTGTGGTAGTAGCCTCAGTCGTTGTTATCTCTGGCGTAGTAGTAGCTTCAGTCGTTGTTAGCTTTGGAGTAGTAGTAGCTTCAGTCGTTGTTATAACTGGTGTTGTAGTTGCCTCAGTCGTTGTTATCTCTGGTGTGGTAGTAGCTTCAGTCGTTGTTATCTCTGGTGTTGTAGTAGCCTCAGTCGTTGTTATCTCTGGTGTGGTAGTAGCCTCAGTCGTTGTTATCTCTGGCGTAGTAGTAGCTTCAGTCGTTGTTAGCTTTGGAGTAGTAGTAGCTTCAGTCGTTGTTATAACTGGTGTTGTAGTTGCCTCAGTCGTTGTTATCTCTGGTGTGGTAGTAGCTTCAGTCGTTGTTATCTCTGGTGTGGTAGTAGCCTCAGTCGTTATCTCTGGCGTAGTAGTAGTTTCAGTAGTTGTTACTTTTAAAGTAGTAGTAGCTTCAGTCGTTGTTATAACTGGTGTTGTAGTAGCCTCAATCGTTGTTAGCTCAGGAGTAGTAGTAGCCTCTGTCGTTGTTATCTCTGGTGTCGTTGTAGCTTCAGTCGTTGTTACCTCTGGTGTAGTAGTAGCTACATTAGTCGTTATCTCGGGCGTTGTAGTAGCTTCAGTCGTTGTTATATCTGGAGTAGTAGTAGCTTCAGTCGTTGTTACCTCTGGTGTAGTAGTAGCTTCAGTCGTTGTTATCTCTGGTGTAGTAGTAGCTTCAGTCGTTGTTATATCTGGAGTAGTAGTAGCTTGAGTCGTTGTTATCTCTGGAGTAGTTGTAGCTTGAGTCGTTGTTATCTCTGGTGTAGAAGTAGCTTCAGTTGTTGTTATATCTGGAGTAGTAGTAGCTTGAGCCGTTGTTATCTCTGGTGTAGTAGTAGCTTGAGTCGTTGTCATATCTGGAGTTGTGGTAGCTTCAGTCGTTGTTATCTCTGGCGTAGTAGTAGCTTTAGTCGTTGTTATATCTGGAGTAGTGGTAGCTTGAGTCGTTGTTAACTCTGGTGTAGTAGTAGCCTTAGTCGTTGTTATATCTGGAGTAGTGGTAGCTTGAGTCGTTGTTATCTCTGGTGTAGTGGTAGCTTCAGTCGTTGTTATCTCTGGTGTAGTAGTGGATTCAGTCGTTGTTACCTCTGGTGTAGTTGTAATCTCTGCTGTTGTTGTCATTTCTTGTGTTGTTAGTACATGACAGTAGCTTTCACAAAGATCTGCGACTGAAAACCCAAAACATAGTTTCAATAAGGTTTGACGTATAGATGGCTCATAAATGTTTGTTATGTTTATCAAAAATAACATTACATTACTAGTATCAAATGTTATAAAAAATTTCCTTACAACTGATCGATTGGTTTGTTATAATGTTCTGCACGGGGAGACCTATTATTTGTGTGTTTTTTGTCCGGATGTAAAACGTTTATCACCGTAAAATCTATAACAACTAATATTTAAAAGAATCTTTTTATAATTACTTCATACAATATTTCGTTATGTATTTGTATATTCTATTTCATGTTTTTACCAAACATATTTTAGGGGTGTCAAGTAGGAAATTATGGATTTTGTAATTTCTATACATACTGGGTAGTTTGTAAACGCAAAAATCGACAACATCTTACATTCGATTAGAATTACTTATAAAGTGCCGTTATGTATCTTATTGGAATATTTGCTTAGTTCTATTTTGTGACTATTGAGGTACTCCTAGTGTCCAAGAGAGCGTACGCATGTGTATGCATTGGGCGGCTACATCCAGTTCTCATAAACTAAGCGCACATAGTAACATAATTTTACTTGCAGATGCATCCCGGAGAGACTAGCATTTTGCCATTAGATGAAATTCGCATGACCCACAATATATATTACAGTTGTTTTTCACTTGTTCCGTTGGTTGATACCGTGTGATTTTGTCCGTTTTATGGACCTCCCCTTTTTGAATTTACCTTGGAGATCGGTATTTTTGTTATACTTTGTTATGGTTCAGTTGCTTTCATCAACTTTTAAACTTCATTTAGTTTTTGTCCGAATATTTAGTTCTCTGATACTCTGTGACCAACAATCAAACAATGTTGTGCAAAGATGCATCTATACTAGGTGATTATAACAATATGGTATTAGAAGAAGTCCTCTCTTACCAATATTTTATGATTCATTGACTTTGATCAAGTTGTACGTCCTAATTCATTCTTAGATACTACATGACTTACAATTATAATATAACTAGTACTAGAAACTATCTTTAGGAAGTGAAGCAGTCGGTCACATATAAAAGGTCAATTCTAACTGTCTTTTACGATTCATTGACCTCGGACTAGTCCGAGTCATGATTTTGATACTATGTGACTAACGATTATAATACTTGGTGTAAAGATGCATATTAAGGAGTAAAGCAGCCTCCCACAAAAATACGTCACTCTGACCTTTATTTAATGCTTCATTTACTTCGATTGAGTATTTCATTTGAGTTAATTTTTCAAACAACAAGTGACCAACAATCGTACAATTTAGCGTATTAATGCATTTAGGAGACATTATAATGTCTCCCTTTCCGATCTGTATCTTGTGGAAAAAAAGAAAAACGTTTGTGTCAACAATCAACAAACCTTATTCTATAAGGTTCAGTCAGTTGTAACAAAATTTATCACAGATATGTTATAGGTATTCAGGTGCTTGTTTTGTTTATTTATTTGTTTATTATATTTTTATTGTAATTATCATTATTGCACTGCGCTAAGAATTCTTACCAGTATAACAATCCGCATTCACTGTACATATGCCTTTCAAAATAAGCAATGAAGAAATGGCCAATAAATCAGAATAGATCATTGTTCTGAAAAAAATTATATTTTCATTATAAGTATTTAATTATGTGTTATATCTCGTAAAATTAAATTCATAAGACTAGTGGTGATATTTTGAATGATAAAGGGTTTGAATGTGACAAGTGTTGAATTAAAAGTCGGCGATGTCGATACAAGTATAAAGACGTGTGTAAAGTTTTATAGTTTACATTGTGTACTTTCGTCTATTTTTTTCTTTTATTTGTCCTACCTTTCATTTGTGATGACATTACTTTACTAATTTCGGATTTTTCCTTTTTTTCGATATGTCGACCACTTTTTGTTCTTTATAAGATTTTTTTGTTCCGCGTTTACTGTATAATATGTACCAGGAAAACTTGCAATATGCACATTTTCTAGTCTAGTTATTTTTGTCAATTTAAATCTATTTTAAAATATTAACAAAAGACTTCTTGGTATTGTATGTTTTAAATGGTATTAAATAGATGTTATTATTTATGTGAACAATATATAATTTATCAAAAGATAAATTTGATTGATTTTGTTTTTATTCGGACCATCCAATTTGACATATGTTTAATGATGTCTTCATAACTCTATCAAATAAACGAATATAACAGTATATACTTATCTTTAATACCAGTTGGGATTTCTCGCATAATTGCGATTAAGACAAGAAAAGTATCCAATGGCATGTATTCAGTTGCATTTATTTCTTTAGATATAAATTTGAAATTACCAGTTTATATTTCATACATACTTGTGAATTTTTTCAACGTCGAGTCTGGTCAGTAACATCAGGATCCAGAGTTGGTAAATTTAAAAACTCGATAGATTTATTCAGGTAGTTAAATAAGACAGGTATTTCAACAAAATTTTTACTGGTACGGAGTAAAAGGACTCAAATAACTGTTTAAAAAAGAATGTTATGAACTTGTCAAAACCTATACCTCTAAAAAAAACATAAAATTGGAATTTATCTTTAAATATTTTCAGTAATTTTATATTGTTACAAAACATTATTTTTCTAAGTAAATAACCCTTTAACTTTAAATAATATCAAGGGATACGATTCAATAACGTCAAAAATTTGTATTCTGTTTTATCAACATACATTGAATGGCTTAATGAATAACCGTGATATTGTTCAAATTATAATTCTACGTTCTGATGTTGATTGGCACAATTTCCTAAAATATTGCATATTGGACGAGCAGTTAATCCTATTCATACCATAATTGATCATTTTGGCTGTTTGCCATTAACCAAAATTTTGGATCCACCAATTATTGTTCCATGAATAAAATATACGAAAAAAATTACTGAAGTTAAACTGTTCATTTAGCATTTAGTACATTCAGGTATATAGAATATTGTGAACTTTTGCTAGATTGCAAATGCAAAATACTTGTAAATGATACTGAAAAAGGTAGCTTGATCACCCATTAGTTATATGGAAAGTAAATTCCTTTTTTTTCTTAATATTAAAAAAAGATCAAACTGATATAACATTTATAATGATTTCTTCAATGATCTTTTCATCATATTTGACTTCAAAATATCCGTGTTCATTTCTAAAAAATGGAAGAGAAAAAAAAAAGAACTTAAGATTACAAACATGATTAACCTGGCCTCCGACACACTTATCTGGTCTAAATTCATGTCAGTCTTTGTTAAACTTACAACTATTATATTATTATGAAAGTTTATAATAATGACTGTTCGACGTCTCTACTGCATGTATTGATATATTTTGTGTATACGATATTTTAAACGCACTCAACCATTAAAAAAAATTTAATAATATAAAATTTGAAGTATTGAAGTTATCTTATTATACTAATACGAATGAAACGAATGGTTTTAAATTTCACCTTATTAAAATGTATTTTCAAACATCCATTTTTGTTGGATATCAGTTTTCTTGTTTAAAGTTAAGCTATCCACATGGTTTCAGTTAGAAAAAATTACATAGATAAAAATGTACCCTTTCAACAAAATCAATGCATAAGCTATAACTTAACGAAATTGATTAACAGGAGTGTGCTCCTGAAATAAAAACTTATTAAAATGAGATATGAAGATAAACGACTGAAATCGACACTACATAAGTTTACGGTCACAATCAGAGATTGGTTGAACGATATGATGTGACTGTGTCTCTACTCACTTGCCTAGCGATATGTTTCTTGTCTATTACTATCGCCGTAATTTAAATACCGGAATAGTTGTGTGATCTGTAAATTTACCGACTTTGTCGTCTTCCAGAGTGAACAATTTAGACAGAGCGTGGATTCGCATTGGGGTGATGCAGACAGAGCAAGAGATGCTGAACTTCGTACTTTTTTTTATTCGAGCGTCGCTGACGAGTCTATTGTAGACGAAACGCGCTTCTGGCGTACACAATTTTAATCCGGATATCTATCATGAGTGCATTTACCCTGTCGACACATAAGGTTTTGCTCCTTTTGGAGTTTATATGACTACCTTCTCAGTTTTGTTTTACCTTGATGTGTATCTTCTTAATGGGTTAATAGAGATTTTCAATAAAATGACATATGTAAGTAACTCGACGTACGGACCTAATGGGACTGGTTATTGCCAACCATTGAATTTGATTAAATGCGTTGCTCAAGTTTAAACAAAGTATTCAAATACTTTGAAAATCACACACTGGAATTTTCGTCCCTATAAAATAATTTTATCATGACGAAAAATGATAGAAATCTTGCATTTCATTTATCACGTAGTTTTCCAGATTCCCGTCTTTATTTTCACAGACATAAGATCACGTATAAACACACGTATCCCATACCTATCATACGTACGATTTGAGTTATCTTTCATGGTTTTGATAATGACAATTATTTTTCAATAGACTTTGCAGATGAACGCCCCATTATACTTTTTTTCTGTCTTTCTTTATAGTTTATCTATTTTTTTTTATTATATTTGTTGCGGGGAAAATATTTAGAAGGATATTTTCTGACAATTTCAGAAATATCGAAACCAGAGTTTGTGAGAGTCTGTCTCTTTATAAAAGTTGAAAATTGAGTTAAAACTCTCGCTTCCATTTAATTTCTAAACAAAAGTATTTTTCATTTATTATAAAATGTAATGATAAAAAATCCCTATATATGTTGTTTTTTAGAATTAAGGTGTGTTCGAGTAGGGATTGTCCTGTATTAATTTGTTTAACGGGAATGCTATCGGAGTCCAAACACAAAAGACATTTCTAGGCAATTTTTTTTATATCCCTTGAAAGAAATTATCTTATAGTATTTTATCTATTTTATTGATAAACAATTAAAAGGGGATCACCGAATTCATTTTACTGAATAAATCATTAACGGAAATGTGTAAGGTAAGTAACATTGAACAACATAATATAATAAGATTTCGATGCCAGATGCGGATCCAGGGGGGGGGGGGTGTATAGGCAACGTAAGAAGTGGAACAAAAATAAAGTATTAATAGGATGTAGGGCCATATATATAAGTGTTCGTTGCATATGTATTTTACATATGCATATTTAGGACGAGAAGATGAATATGATTTTGTATTATACCGCAGGAAGACATGTCATCCTACCCGGACACATGATTTTGACCCCGGACCGATCAATCTTTGCTCTAATTCTTAATATTGCGTGCTTGACAGAGAGGCAGCCAATCTTCGATTTGAAACGGGTGAGGATCAATTATATACCATGTACGTCATAGTATAAAGTATACAGAGTGACGAAAACGTTGACTGCTTTACTCTTTACTCACTCAGTCCTCATTATTAACGTCTTGAAAACTGTCTTTCATAAAATCAACAAGGTAGATGCGAATATCTTTTTTAAATAACAGACAAAGTATACCTCGCAAAAAACTGATTCAAACAAGAGGTGTTAACTGTGAAACTGATATGATGCTTGATTTTTTTTTTTTTGACAACGAACTTGTTACTTTTGGTGGACAAGTTTTCTACAGACACTTGGCACTCTTCTAGTACTCTTCTACCTTGGTTAATATAAGCAAGACTTGATAGTTCACCCGGTTATTATCATCCATGCATTTTGACAAAAGCTAAACGTATAAAAAAACATAGTGGATCTCAAACTTAATATCCCCAAATCTGTACAAAAGCATTTTAGGAGAGGTCATACATATAATTCTGTCAATTATTTTTTTTTTATCAGAACCTGTCTGTAACTGAATAATGAGAATTAAACCTTTAACCAGCAGTTTCACTGAAATATATTGATTTAATGCGCACTAGAAATATTATTTTATGATAAAATTCCACAAATCTGGATTTTTCATAGACAGGATCTTTTTGCCACTGTGTGACATATCAAGAGTATGATCACCTACACCTATTTTGCGATTCATATTTTCAATTAACCGCCCACTCCCTATTGGCATTGACTTCTTTTAACCAAGATGAGGACTGCCAAGACTCAAATCATTTGCCTCACCAGAAATAAAATTCAAGTAACGCTACTGTCGATTGATTGATAGTTGGTAGCTTAACGTCCAGTGGCAAATATTTCATGCATAATTATCGTGTAGAGAGCGTGGCATTCTCTCTATAAGAGGCATCGGATTTAACGTCCCCACTCTGACCGGACGGTACTGCGTACCTGTACATCCCGCACAACAAACGGACTCCCCGATTTGGTAATGGTTTAACTGCCGATCGGAACAAGACCAATAGTGACCATATTTCTACCCCCCGACCACTTTTGAGGGGTTACTGTCGAGGCGAGCGCGCGACAAAAGAGACAGTTATGATTATGAAAGATACATATACATGTACGTGTATAAATCAATACATTTGCAACAAGAATGTGTGGCCTTAAGACAATTAAGACAACGTGCCCCTTCACATGATCATATTTCCTTGTTCAGTGCACCACTTAATCCAGGTCAAACTCTTATTTGGTATATAATTTCAAACGTTTTATATTTTGAACAGAACGGAAGAACGGACGGATGCACAGACCAGTAAACATAATATCCCCTTGCTATCATAAGTTGGTCATAAAACTAAAAAGACCATCCTACTTAACAAAACTTCAATCGAATATTCTGTTTTTCATACATATTTGTATAAGTTAAACGCAAAACATTTTAGAAAAACAATTTAAGAGCAATGACGTTTAATTACGCATGCGTTTGTACGCGCTCTTCCTAGAATCCATGCATCATTATAATTAATGACAAGATATAACAAAAATTACTGATTCAGTAAAGTGTAATCATATTCCTTCTTGAAGATGCGTCCTCATACATTCCATTTGATAAAATTCGACGGAAAGGTGACAAAGTACTATAAGAAAGATGCATCAGTGATCTGAATTTTTACCTTTGACAAAAGTATCTTGAAATAAATTATAGAAGTATGCAAAAAAAAAGAAAGAAGAAGCAAGTCATGTACACCTTTTACATACCGGTGTGTTTGAAACTCTTGTTTTATAATCTTAAAACTTTTAAATAAAAAATGAGAATATGATATCGCTTCAGATTCCATTATTTTTATTTTTTCAAACTTAAGGTAGCAATACACAGTTAGGAAAAAAACTTAAAATTGACACTCATAATTTTTAAACATCCTCTTTCCCTTCCTTTCTAACAAATAAGGCTTAATATTTGTGTTATGCATGTGTATATTTATAGAAAGAGAATCTTCCATAGATTTGATTTCTAATGGTTATAATGGTGAAATATAATCTCTTTTGGGTGTAACCATGGCAACAATCTGCATTTCTTTGATACAAAATATTGCATAAAAGGGGGGTGAACATGTCACAAAAGTCTCCAAAATTTGGTCCAAAGGAAAATTTCAATCAATTACAGTGATACCTTTCCTGAATCCATAGACATATATC